AAAGACTCAGCCTAAATGCTGCATAGCCACATCAGGAGAAAAACAACAGTAAAGGAACAGGTTATGAAATTAAGGATAGGGGCAGAAGGATTCACTACAAACGACAAGGAAGTGTGTGAGGAACTGAATATGAAATTCCATGAGGTCTTCATCATAGAGCGAGGAGAAATCCCAGAGATAAGAGAGGGAATAGCTAACCAGGAACCACTGGAAGAGTTTGAGATTACCAGCGGGGAAGTAAGGAAGTGTTTACTAGAATTGGATGTGACAAAGGCTATAGGCCCAGATGGAATCTCCCCTTGGGTTCTAAAGGAAGGAGCAGAAGAACTGTGCCTCCCGCTCTCCATGGTGTATAACAAATCACTGGCAACAGGGGAACTGCCAGAAATTTGGAAAGCAGCTAACGTAGTCCCGATATACAAGAAAGGGGATAGACAGGAGGCACTGAATTACAGACCAGTGTCCCTAACCTGCATACCATGCAAGATGATGGAGAAGATTGTGCGAAGAAAGCTAGTGGAGCACCTGGAGCGAAAGAACTTTGTAACACAGCATCAACATGGATTCAGGGATGGCAGGTCCTGCCTCACAGGGTTACTTGAATTCTACGACCAGGCAACAAAAATAAGGCAAGAAAGAGAAGGGTGGGCAGACTGCATATTTTTGGATTGTCAGAAAGCCTTTGACACAGTACCACACAAGAGGCTAGTGAAAAAACTGGAGATGCAGGCTGGAGTGAAAGGGAAGGTACTCCGTTGGATACAGGAGTACCTAAGTAACAGGAGACAACGAGTCAGTGTGAGGGGTGAGGTCTCAGATTGGCGAGACGTTACGAGTGGAGTACCGCAGGGGTCAGTCCTTGGACCTATACAGTTTCTGATATATGTAAATGATCTTCCAGAGGGTATAGAATCGTTTCTCTCAATGTTTGCCGATGATGCAAAAATTATGAGGAGGATTGCAACTGAGGACGATAGTAGGAGGCTACAAGATGGCCTAGACAGATTGAGTGAATGGTCCAACAAATGGCTGTTGAAGTTCAACCCGAGTAAATGCAAAGTAATGAAACTAGGTGGGGGAAATAGGAGGCCAAACACAGGATACAGAATAGGAGATGAAGTACTTAATGAAACGAACAGAGAGAAAGATCTAGGAGTTGATATCACACCAAACCTGTCTCCTGAAGCCCACATAAAAAGAATAACGTCTGCGGCATATGCGAGGCTAGCTAACATCAGAACAGCGTTCAGGAACCTGTGTAAGGAATCATTCAGAATCTTGTACACCACATATGTAAGACCAATCCTGGAGTATGCGGCCCCAGCATGGAGCCCGTACCTTGTCAAGCACAAGACGAAGCTGGAAAAAGTCCAAAGGTATGCCACTAGACTAGTCCCAGAACTAAGAGGCATGAGTTACGAGGAAAGGCTGCGGCGGGAAATGCACCTTACGACACTGGAAGACAGAAGAGTAAGGGGAGACATGATCACAACCTACAAAATCCTCAGAGGAATCGACCGGGTAAATAAGGATAAACTATTCAACACTGGTGGGACGCGAACAAGGGGACACAGGTGGAAACTGAGTACCCACATGAGCCACAGAGACGTTAGAAGGAACTTTTTCAGTGTCAGAGTAGTTAACGGATGGAATGCACTAGGCAGTGATGTGGTGGAGGCTGACTCCATACACAGTTTTAAATGTAGATATGATAGAGCCCAGTAGGCTCAGGAATCTGTACACCAGTTGATTGACAGTTGAGAGGCGGGACCAAAGAGCCAAAGCTCAACCCCTGCAAGCACAAATAGGTGAGTACAAATAGGTGAGTACACACACACACACACACACACACACACACACACACACACACACACACACACACACACACACACACACACACACACACACACACACACACACACGCACGCACACACACACACACACACACACACACACACACACACACACACACACACACACACACACACACACACACACACACACACACACACACACACATGCATGAGTTATGAGGAAAGGCTGCGGGAAATGCACCTTACGACACTGGAAGACAGAAGAGTAAGGGGGGACATGATCACAACCTACAAAATCCTCAGGGGAATCGACCGGGTAAACATGGATGAACTATTCAACACTGGTGGGACGCGAACAAGGGGACACAGGTGGAAGCTGAGTACCCAAATGAGCCACAGAGACGTTAGAAATAACTTTTTCAGTGTCAAAAGTAGTTAGTAAATGGAATGCACTAGGAAGTGATGTGGTGGAGGCTGACTCCATACACAGTTTCAAATGTAGATATGATAGAGCCCAGTAGGCTCAGGAATCTGTACACCAGTTGATTGACGGTTGAGAGGCGGGATCAAAGAGCCAGAGCTCAACCCCTGCAAGCACAAATAGGTGAGTACAAATAGGTGAGTACACACACACATACACACACACGACTCTTCGAAAGGAAGAGTTGACTGCAGCATGTGGAGGGATACAAGAAAGTATTCCTGCAGAGGGACAAGACGAAGGAGGAGAGAGCCAGGGCAGCAGAGGCAAGGAGGAAGCGCAGGGAGAGAGGAGCAAATCAGGAAATCACAGCCCCCAACACAACAGTCCTAGAGACAAGAGGCGACCCCAAAACCAGCATCCCAGCAACACCAAAGGGAAGGACAACACCACCACCCCCCTCTGCATAGAAACCCTCCCTTCCCCTCACCCTACCTGCCCCCACCCAACCCTCCCTTCCCCCTCACCCCATTCTTACCCTGTCACCCCTTCCCCATTCCCATCAAGTCCCCCCCTCCCACCTTTCCTCCCCTGTCCCCCCTCCCCCTTCATCCCATTCCCTCCCTATCCCTCCTCCCCCCTCACCCCATATCCTCCATGTCCCCCTTATCTCTTTAACCCACACCCTACCTGTCCCCCCTTCCCTGAAACCCCCACCCCTCACCCCAAACTCCTCTGAGACCCTGCAAACCACCTCACAGATCTTCTCACCCACGGAAAAGCTTCCCACACCAGCAGAATGCTCGCCAAGAAAAGGACAAGAAAATGAACTGAAGAAAGAGAGCTTCAAGGCAATGTACACTATCATAGATGGGATTACAAATAAAACAAGTGATCTCGGAGAATGGGCACTAGAAGAAAACCCAGACATAATAGCACTCACAGAAACAAAGCTAACAAACACCATAACCAACACAGTGTTTCCATAGGGCTACTATGTAGTCAGGAAAGAGAGAGAAGGGAGAGGAGGAGGTGGTGTAGCTTTGCTACTAAGAGAAGGTTGGAGTTTCGAAGAGATGGTAATTCAGAACTGTGAAGGTTTCAGTGACTACATATCAGGCACCATAGCAACTGGAGGACAGAAAATTATAGTAGTATTCATATATAACCCCCCACCGAATGACAGAAGACCCAGACAGGAATATGATAGAAACAACTTGGCCACCATCAATATAATAGAGAGAGCAGCTTCTGTTGCTAGCAGGAACGGATGCAGGCTGCTAATCATGGGAGACTTCAACCATGGAAAGACAGATTGGGGGAACAGAGACCCACATGGAGGCCTAGACACATGGAGAGCTAAACTGCTGGATGTGGCAACAAGAAACTTTCTAAGTCATCACGTAAAGGGACCGACAAGAACGAGAGGAGGGGATGAACCAGCCTTGCTTGATCTGATATTTACCCTAAATGAGTCGGATATAAGGGAAGTTAAGTTGGAAGCCCCCTTGGGAATGAGTGATCATAGTGTATTGAGCTTTGAGTACCTGGTTGAGCTAGGAATTATCACCCCCCAAAAAGAACTGGGAAACAAAGGGCTGGCGTACCGAAAGGGAAACTATGAGGAGATGAATAAATTCCTATGGGATATACATTGGGACACAGAACTCGGAACCAAGTCCGTACAAGACATGATAGACTATGTCACCCAAAAATGTCAGGAGGCTGTCAGCAGGTTTGTCCCACCCCCAACAGGAAAAAAACAGAGAAGCAAAGGAAGAATCCGTGGTTTAATAGGGAATGTATGAAAGCAAAGGAGCTGAACAAAAAGGCATGGAGGAACTTCCGTAATAACAGAACATCAGAAAGTAGAGAGAGATATTAGAGAACCAGGAACGAGTATGTTAGTGTGAGAAGAGAAGCTGAGAAAAGGTATGAAAATGATATAGCTAATAAAGCCAAGACCGAACCTAAAGCCAAGGCCCGATTTGCCTAATAAGCCAAGTTTTTTATGAATTAATTGTTTTTCGACTACCTAACCTACCTAACCTAACCTAACCTAACTTTTTCGGCTACCTAACCTAACCTATAAAGATAGGTTAGGTTAGGTTAGGTAGGGTTGGTTAGGTTCGGTCATATATTTACGTTAATTTTAACTCCAATAAAAAAATATTGACCTCATACATAATGAAATGGGTAGCTTTATCATTTCATAAGAAAAAAATTAGAGAAAATATATTAATTCAGGTAAACTTGGCTTATTAGGCAAATCGGGCCTTGCATAGTAGGCCGAGAAGTGCATTCTGGCTTCTAGGTACGACATATATATATATATATATATATATATATATATATATATATATATATATATATATATATATATATATAAGTTAATACATAGAAGAAACAATCAGAAGACAAAATCATGTGTTATACAGTAATATATTCGCATGGGGGAAAGAGAAACGTCTATTGAAGAAGGAGATTGAAAGCATAAAAAGATGATTGATGGGGATAGTGAGAAAATAGTGGTCATAATTGAACAATAATGGTAGGAGTCTTCGTATCAAAATATTAATGACTTAAATTTAGAATCTCATAAGCCAAAACCTAATCTTAACAGTAAAAGCTTCGGAAAAAGCTTAGTAAAAAGGTATTACATAAACAGTTCTCAAGGACATCGTCAGCCGTACAATGAAATATCCAGGCAACAAAAACATTCCTTAATGTCTTTAATTATCAACGTGTCAAACAAGAATACTCACTTCATTTCGAGAGCGTCCTTGAGTCCATCAACAATATCGACTCCAACCACCATTAACTTTCCGAAAGTGGACAAGGCACTCGAATCGGAATTGATGAAGGAATTTTTGTAATTTACTCCATATGGCTCGATTGTCACCCTAAATGTGTTTCATAACAGAAACAATTTTCATATTAATGAAAAGATAAGAAATATTATATACAGGAATTCTTTTCTGAAACAGAGAAGGAACTTTTTTAATAGATTGAATAATAATATAATTTGCACATTTCTTGTGAACCATGTTGAAAACTACATTTTTTTAATATATGACACAGAGTTTTACTATAAGAGGAAATATCTGTCTGCCAGTCTGTTAAAAGCTGAGGCCACACGGTGTGGGCTTGCCTAACTAATATTACCATAGGGAATGGTGCAGGGTATGGGATGAACATTGCATGTTCGGGGTCGACCGAATTCAAAACGGATCAGAGTGTCAGTGCCACATTTATACCCCCATGACGATCTTTGACAATGTCCGCCAGCTACACAAGAAATATTTTTACAACAAAATTCTCAAAACTATAATTTTCTAGTAGTAATATATAAGATTATTCATTTATCTAAGCAATATTAACAGAAATTTCCTGCTGTCAAAAATGTTCACGTACATATGAGAGATAATTCTTCTACAGCTTCAAAGGTTTCGGTCTTTTTTGGTATTTCACACCATTGAGCTCCTTACTGCCGACAATCCACACATTAGACACTTAAATTCTTTAAAGAAAACGAAAATCAGACAGACAGATAGACAGAGATAGGTAAAGACAGAGAAAAAATAGACAAAGAGAGAGGCAGAGACAGACACAGACAGTAAATGGAGCCAGTATCTCATCAATCACATGATTAAATTGAAGAAGGTTCAGAAGTTTGCCACCAGACCAGTACTCGAGCTGAGGGGTATGAGCTACAAGGAGACACTACGGGAACTAAACCTCACATTGCTGGAAGACTGGAAATTTAGGAGTGACATGATCACAACATTCAAGATTCTCAGAGGAACTGGTTGGATAGATAAAGACAAAGTATTTAACATAGAGGTAACCGCTGTTGTGAGCCCCATATACCTGATAATTTACGTCCTGCCCTAAAGTGAGAGTTTTTTCTCACTTGGCCCTACAGAGGATCCAGATGGATATTTTAATGTAAATCGACACGGTAAGTAACCATCGTTAGATATTACAAAAGAGGCATTAAGGCGAATATGAGCAACTTTATGGAGACGGGTCGTGATATCGACAGTATATGACGAGCCGTGTGCAAAGCTGACATCATTGCTGAAAACGAAATGTGTACAGACGGTTTGCTACATCACTTGCCAATGTGGATATCAATGGGCAGCACCCACTTCGTCACTCCAGAGAGAAAAAAGGATATTGTGTCGTTTCAGAGAGGAATCTGCAGGGCTCTTCGAAGTTAGCAAGTGTTGTGAGCTGTGGGGGGAAGATTTGTGGTGTGCATCTCTCATAGTAGTAACAAGGACGACGACTTGAAGCCTGTGGGCTGGTCGTTTCCCAGAGGTCCACTGTGATAGGCTGAAGAGGTCTGTTTATCCTTGAATAGAATCTGATGAGAGTTGGTAACCAAGTTGGTACTTGTGTATTTGTTAGCCTTCAAATTGAAGAAGGTTGGGGTGTAGCCAATCTCGAGGCCACTAGGCCACTGACGTCATTTCCCATAGAGCCCGAGAGTTCCTGCTCTCAAGAGGGTGTCGTCAGTGTTTCATTTATCTAAGGCAGGGTCGGACTTCGGTGGGTTTGACATATTGTGTTACCCAACCCAATAAAGTCTCGAGAAGAATTCTAGTGCATTATCCACAGTCCCAAGCAAGCTCCAACAAACAGTTACTATGTGGAGCACTGATAGTAGCTGTGGGATGATTTTTTTTTTCAGCTGGAAACTTTAGTGCCCATTCACGCCGTCACCCGCCGCCACCGCTACACTCAAATCATCGTCAATATTCATCATACTAGTCCGAGGTCCTACCATTCACCCTTGCTCTAGAACACCTTTCTCGTCAAATAAAGCACGATTTTTAGCAGCAAGAACGTTGTTACATCAGTGAGGGGAGAGAGCACTTTCCCGCTCACTGTTTCAAATCTCCCGGCGTCTGAGCAAGCCACCCGCCACCCACTGGCACCAGCCAGATGCCTTGTGTGTGTTCGTCTGTACTGTTCTACGTGTGCCATCGTCATCAGTTGTCGCATCCGGTTCCATTGCTTGTCTTGCCCACCGGATGTGTTGTGCATTTTCTAAAAAACTATTTGTTTGCCTGCGTTTGACTGTAGTGATGCCATTACCGCCCGATGCCATTACCACCGGACTCCAACACTGTTACCGCAATCACTCACGTCGCCACTGCTCCATCACCCATCAGTGAACTTTGCCTACATTCTTGCGTGTCATCTGTGCTTTCTTCGCCATCATCGTCGTACCGTCATCGTCTCTGCAACATTGTCGATCTCTTGACAACATCATCTCCACTCTTTGACGTAACAACCACCTGTGACGTCACCACGCTTCGTGGAGCTCCAGCATCGTGTGCTGCTGTCGTCTCCAATAGTAAACACACACCACGTTGTTTCTCCACACCACTTCAATGCTGTTTTGCTATTTCGCTACGGTTGAAATGCATATCCTGCAGTCTGAGTTAAGCAATTGATAGCTGAGGCTTACCGTACTATGAAATAACAGTGCTAATATTACAGAGTAATATCCACTGTATCACATATATGTACTTTCCAGTGACTAGTTAAATATTGGAGTTGGTTGCCACTCCACACCCAGCTTCTCTGTGGTGTTTTCCAACATTCCCTGTTATCACAACAACTTATTGTACATTAATAGTGTTCCAAGAGTATAATTACATTCTAATTCAGTGCAGTAAGAAATAATTTTTTTTCCTGCACTTAAGGAAGTGTGCTATAGAGTATTTTGATATCTTCCCAGACTTTATTTTGAGGTTCTTCTTTTCGGTACTAAAATTTAGAATGTTACCAAAGCATGTTATCAGTTTAAGTACTCCTTACATAACCTGTGTTCTAGTATTTTTCACCTGTTAGTTACAGCAGTTGTTCCACCACTTACAAAATAACTTGTATTCTTTTCAAAAGTCCATTTGATTTAAACTTTTACAGAAAGTCAATTTTGTTTTAAATTCTTGATGACATATTGCAAGTAGTTTAATTAATTTGATTGATAAATTTTCCTTTAGTGATATCTTACCGCGTCATTTAAATATTTCTGATTTTTGTGTTTTTAATGCCAGTCCATATTTCCTGTATTACATGTTGATTCTTTTGTGTGCATTTCATTGTTTCTGCATTGTTCAATTACTAAGCATATTTTATTCTTGTAATATGTTGAGTGCAGAATTCTTTTTGAGAGAGAAAGAACATGCAATTGCAACTTCCAGTTATAACTTGCGGTTACAACATCCAAATTTGTTGTTCTTAGTCTGTCTCAAATAATTACATAAAATCAATTTCAGATATATTCTGACCAGATTACAGTTATCTTAAAAAAAATTATTTTCATTCATTGTGTTTTGCCTAACTACATTTTCATTTTGTTATTTTTGCCATTTACTTACTTGAGCCTAGTTTGCCATTTTGAGTGTGTCATATTTTGTAATTTGTGCTTATGCAAAGAGTGTCTAATTTATAATCTACATTTCAACATAAGATCCACTGTAGTGACAATGCACACCATTGTTGTATCTCCTTCTTGGCCACATGGAGATGCTACTCGAAATAATGTTCAGCGTTCATCGCAGGAAATAGCCATACCTTGCTTGGTAGGAGAATCTCGATTACTTGAGTCATGATTTAGTAAAGTAAAGGCGAAGGTCAAAGCTCGTTTTTCAGAAAAGCTTCTGGTTCTGACTATTTCGCATTTGCTACGTCATCAATCAACAAAACTTGAGGTGATGCATGAGTTGTAGTAGATGAAAAAACCATTGTTAGTCTCCAGTCATGGGAAAAATTTAAGCACTTTTCTGACGTCGTTTTGTCAACACGGGAGATCTGGACCCATACAGGTTAGTTAAGAAGATTACAAGTGGCACAATGCAACCTGGTGAATTTTACGATTTTATCCGTATTTGTATGCCTTAGAAACTGCAATGTTGAGTTCAACATTGCTAAACGAAGATAAATTACTGACCCCAGTAGCAATGGCCAAAATGATACCATTTGAGACAATAATGCATTTTACACCAGAGCATATCAAACCTCTCCTGGAACAGCAAAACTGTGGTCTTAAAAATTAAATTGGGGAAGTTCTTGAACCTATGAATAATGCTGCAGATATATCAGATCCCCGGAATGCCCAACTGTTGCCACCCCCTGACACTAAATGTAGACACTTGCTACTAAATGTAGTAGCAAGCCCTCAGTTCCCTCCTCCCAGAAACTCACAAAATTCTTGGTCGCATAAGCACAGCAATTGCCGTAACCCACAGTCAACTTCTCATCCTCATACGTTGCCGAGATTCTATAGACCACAACCAACCACTGCCACGTGTTGGGATTGGGGAAAATTAAACCACTTGACAAAGAACTGCTGGTTCGCACCTTGGCCATCACCCCCCAGACAATTTTCTTACTTTCCTCGTCAAACCAAAAACTCAAGGCTCCTATATTGTAAGTATCATGAACAGGTTGGCCACCACACAGCAGATTGTAGAGCTAGCCTAAGGTCATCCTAGGTCATGGTTCCCATGGTCAGACTTGGCTAGGCATACAACGTCCAAGACAGTATTTTTTATTTTTATTTGTAAAACATTAAATACAGCATAAAAGATACTGAAACACCAAAACCAAGCATAATTTCTACACCACACATCAACATACACCATAACACAAATAAAAAACACAGAACATTCACATTAACATCACACAGTAAAGCATAGAAGAACAAGGAACACAGAATGACAAAAATACAGATATAGATAACAAGGCACACAGAGAAATATAAACACATAAGTGAAACAAAGAACAATAAAAATACAGAGGAACATACAAAAAAAACAAAGCTGCACTACCCAAACGGGGCACGCCAAAGGTGTCAGTAACACCACGAGGGTACAAAGAAACAATA